TAACATTATTATTATTATTTTTTAAATTTTTTGGGGTTTTTTTGGGGGGGGAGGGGGGTACAGCTTTGGTGTGACGGTTGGTTAGGCTCTTTGCTGTTAAATGTAGAGCATGTAAACTCTAATCCTGAATGTGGACGTTTATTTGTTGTGGTTGTTGTTGACGTCGTAGTCGTTGTTGTTGTTGTTTTTGTTGTGGTTATTGTTGTTTTGTTTTGTTAATCGAGTCGAGCATAGTCGTCTTTTTTTGGTTTTGGTTTTGGTTTTGGTTGGGGGGTGGGAGTTGTTTTTAGTTTAGTTTTTATTTCTTGTTGATTTTTTTTCTGTTTTATTTGTATGTTTTCTGTTTGGTTGGTGGGAGGGGGGGGGGTGTCTTTTGCGACCCAAAGCGATATGCACTACTCCACATCAATTTGATCCGATGCAACATCGCTGCCTCTATACTAATAGGACACGAACAGTGGGTGGTTGGCGGGTGCTCTGTTGTGGTTTGGTCTTTTTTTCCTATCGAACAGTATCGCCCTGATCTCTCCTCCTTTTTTGTGTTTGTTACTCTCTTGTAACACCTCTAAAATTCGGCATTTGTATGACCTTATTGTGTTGCAAGTGCCGTAAAACTCTTACTAAAACCAAAAAGGACACGAAATAAGCCGTCTTGCAACACCCCTTGGACACTCCTAAACTTCAGTCAGTAAGGACTGGGTAAATTAATGTCAAGACTGTGGGGGGGGGTGTTTGTTTTTTTAGTAGAGGTTTTACGGCGCTTGAAACTCCATAAAATCATAATTATGAGCTCCAGAAGATTGGAGCAGAGGTGTTACAAGAGAGTAGAAACATAAAAAAGAAAAAGGGGAGATAAGGACGATACATGTTTGATGGGAAAGAAGAAACAAACCATATGCACACCAGAGCACCCGTCAACCATCCACTGTGTACTCAAGTGTCTGTGTTTCCTTGCAGCTCAAAGGACACTCCTAAACTTCAGTCAGTAAGGAGTGGGTGGTTGGCGAGTGCTCTGGTATGGTTTGCTTCTTCTTTCCTATCAAACATTTATCGTCCTTATCTCCCCTTCTTCTTTTTTATGTTTGTTACTCTCTTGTAACACTTCCAATCTTCTGGCGCTCATAAGACCTTATGCAGTTGCGAGCGCCGTAAAACCCTCTACTAAAACTAAACAAAGTCAGTAAGGACTGGGTAAAATGTCTAGACTATATACTCAAGTGTCTGTGTTTCCTTGCAGCTCAAAGGCTATCGGTCTGCCACTCTACACGCGGAGATACGGGAGATGCTGGGAGAGGTGGGCCTGAAGAAGAACAGCTCCCTGCCCGTGTCCAAGATGTCTGGTGGTCAAAAACGGAGTCTGTCTGTTGGGATTGCCCTGATGGGCGACTCTAAGGTCAGTGGGGACCGGGGGAGGGGGGTGCAGTCTGAAAGAAAGGGGAATACAAGGGCTTGGGCGGGG